GGCCACGCGGTGATGCCCGGGGTGACGGCCACCAAACGTCACCCCGGTTTCCCTCACCTTGCCCACCCACCCTGCCGCCCCACGCTGTCTAACAGCCAAGTGCCCCCCCATCCCCGCCCCTCGGCTGAGTTCCCGGGTCCTGGAAGTGACCTGCGATGGGGACAGAGGTGGCCTTACTGCCGTCAGCTCTCCATGCAAGACCTCACCGCTGACCTTGCTGGCCTCCTTCTTCCACTCCTTGGGGCAGTACTTGTAGAGTTTCTGGGCCAGGTCCATGTACACGTGCTCATTGTCTGGGTGGGACAGAGGTGGCATCAGCATCCCCAACGTGTCCCCTGCATCCCGCCAAGCCCTGTCCCGGCCCCTCCCCGACCCTGCCGTCAGCTCTCCATGCAAGACCTCACCGCTGACCTTGCTGGCCTCCTTCTTCCACTCCTTGGGGCAGTACTTGTAGAGTTTCTGGGCCAGGTCCATGTACACGTGCTCATTGTCTGGGTGGGACAGAGGTGGCATCAGCATCCCCAACGTGTCCCCTGCATCCCGCCAAGCCCTGTCCCGGCCCCTCCCCGACCCATCAGCAGGTGGTACGGGGGGGTCCATAACCTCCTCGTCACCCGATGGGAGACCACCAAAGGGCTGGGTAAATTTGCACCCACCTTTGGGCAGACAAGCACCCCGTGCCCGGTGGCACCGCGCCTTGCCAAGCCGTGATGGCATCACGCTGGACTGGCCACGGGCACCGAACCCATGGCGTAAGCCCCTGACTTACTCTGGATGACGCTGAGCCCGAAGAGGTGACAGTCCTTCAGCCTCAGGAGGTCACACACCTGCACCAGTAACTCGTGGCACAAAATCTTCACCTGCAAAAAAAAAAACCACCCATGAGTGGTCCCCACTGCATCTGCACCGAACCCCCCGCCGTGTCCCCAAGAAGGACCAGGGCCGGCAGGCTGGGCTGAGGGGTGCATTTTTCCACGGGGCCAACGTGGAAGCCCCCAAAAGCAGGCTCCCACCCTGGGGTGCAGGACCAGAGCCCTCCCGGGGATGGGATGCGCGGGGGACCACGGGGCAGCTCAAGAGCAGCGGGCCTACTGTAGGTGACCCTGCTTCGGCAGGGGGGTTGGACTAGATGACCCACAGAGGTCCCTTCCAACCCCTACTATTCTGTGATTCTGTGATTCTGTGATTCTGTGGGCGGTGGTGGAGACCTCGCCGCAATCGGCCCCGCGCTGGGGACACGGCTTTGGGGGCAGAAAGCAGAATATTGGGTGGTGGGGAATTAAAGAAATAAAAAGCAGAGGAATTTTATGTTTAAATGCTACATCCGAACCAGAGCCAAACCCCTTCCTGCTTATTTGCTGGGGTACGGGAGATCGAGTGGCCATCCACGAGGGATGCACGGAGTGAGGATGGAAGGAGGAAGGCTTGCGCGCTCCCCGTCGTGCCGCCCCGGGGGACGGCACGGGGCAGGTCACCCCCCGAAAAGCCA